AGTGAGAGAGTAATAAAGACTTTCTCAGGCAAACAAAAATTGAGAATTTTTTTTTGCCAGTAGACCTGCTTTGCAAAACTGTTAAAAGAAGTTCTTTAGAGGGAAAGAAAATATGTCAGAAACTTGGAGCCACATAAAGAAAGGAAGAGCATCAAAGATAAAGTGAGTGGAGATAAAATAAAAACTTGTGGCCAAGTGCAGTGGCTCATGCCTATAATCCCAGCACTTTGGGAAGCCAAGACTGGTGGATCACTTGAGGTCAAGAGTTTGAGACCAGCCTGAACAACAACATGGTAAAACCCCGTCTCTACTAAAAATACAAACAACTTAGCCAGGGGTGGTGGCACCTGTCTGTAATCCCAGCTACTTGGGAGGCTGAGACAGGAGAATCACTTAAACCCAGGAGGTGGAGGTTACAGTGAGCTGAGATCGTGCCATTGCACTCCAGCCTGGGCAACAGAATGAGACTTCGTCTCAAAACAAGCAAACAAAAACAAACAAACACAAACTCTCCCAAATTTTTATTTTTATTTATTTTTAATTGATGTAACAGAAAATTGTTCCAAATAACAATAATGTATTTGATGATGTATGTTTATGAATATCATACATGTACACACACATATATATATTATTATGCATGTTTATATATAAGTAGAACTAATAAAAGCAATGAAACCAGAAACAGGAATGAAGAATTTGGATTATTTTGTTATAATAAGGTAGTCACACTCCCCATGAAGTGGAATACTGTTATTTGAAAGTGGACTTGGATTCAGTATAAATGTATATTGTAGAGTCTAGAGCAACCATTAAAAGAAGTAAAAAAAGAAGTACAGATAATATGCTAAGAAAGGAGAGTAAATAGAGTCATATGAAATGTTCAACTAAAACTACAAAAGGCAGGAAAAGAGTGAACAACAAAAATAGGAACAATGAACAAGGGCAACAAATATTAACAGAAAACAGTAACCAATATGGTGGACATTAATCCAACTATATAAAAATATCATTTTAAGCATCAATGATCCAAATCCACCAAATAAAAGACAGCGACAGAGTGGTATTAGTAAACAAGACCATCTCTATATTGTCCACAAGAAACCCACTTTAAAGATAAAGACATATATAAATGAAAATTAAGTGAATGGAGAAAAGTGTATCACGCTAACAAATCAAAAGAAACCAGGGTAGCTATATCAAAGACAAAGAAGGCATTGTATAGGGTCAAATCTATAAGAATACATAACAGTCCTTAGCATACATACAATCTAACAACAGGGTACCAAACGATGCAAGACAAAAGCTGATAGAACTGCAAGGAGAAATAGATAAATTCACTTTCATGGGTGGAGACTTTAACGCCCCCTCTATCATAAATGGACAGATCCAACAAGCAAAAAATCAATAAAGATGACATACTTGAACTCAACAATATCATCAATCAATTGAATATATGTATAGGCTACTTCATCCAACACCAGCAGAATGTCCATTCTTCTCAAGGTTATATAGAACATTCAGCAAAATAAATCACATTCTGGGCCCTAAAACAAAGCTTAACAAATTTAAACAAATAGAAATCATACAATGTCTGCTCTCAGACCACAATGGAATTAAACTAAAACTCAGTAACATTTAATAATTGGAAAATTTCCAAATATGTGGACATTAACACACTTCTAAATAACACATGAGTCAATGAAGATATCTCAAGAGAAATTTCAAAATGTTTTGAACTAAATGAAGAGGAGAACATGACTTATCAAAATTTGTGGGATGCAATGAAACAGTCCTTAGAGAGAAATTTATAGCATTAAATGAATATACCAGGAAAGAAGAAGGATCTAAAATCAATCATATAAGTTTTCACTTTAGGAAATTGGAAAGAAAAAGAGCAAATGAAATTCAAAGTAAGCAGAAGTAAAGAAATCATAAGAAGTAAAGGCAGAAATCAACGAAATGGAAAATAAGAAATTTATAATAGAGAAGACCAATAAAGCAAAAAACTGGTTCTTTGGAAAGATCAACAAAACTAATAAGCCTCTAGCCAGGTTAACTATGAAAAAAAGAAAGAGGGCACAAATTATTACTATCAGAAATGAAATAAGGGACTTCACTACAGATCCCACGGACATTAAAATGATAATAAAGAAATGCTATGAACAGCTCTATGCCTACATTTTGATAACCTAGATGAAATGGACCAATTATTTGAATGATATAATCTGCTAAAACTCACACAAGAAGATATAGACAATCTGAATAAGCCAACATCTATTTTAAAAATCAAATAAACAATTAATAACCTTTCAAAACAGAAAGCCCCAGGCACAGATAGATTCACTGGTGAATTCTGACATTTAAGAAAGAAATCCTACCATTTCTCTACACTCTCTCATAAACATAGATGCAAAAATACTCAATAAAATATTAGCAGATCAAATCCAACAATGTACAAAAGTAATTATAAACCATGACCAAGTGGGATTTACCCCAAGTAGGCAAAACTGGTTTAACTTTTGCAAATCAATTAATGTAACCTATCACATCAACAGGCTAAATAAGAAAAAAATCACACAAGCATATCAATAGATGCAGAAAAAGCATTTGACAGAATCCAACACCTATTCACACTAAAAATTCTCAGTAAACTAGGAAGAGTGAAATTTCCTCAAACTGACGAACAATATCTTAAAAAACCCTATAGCTAACATTCTTAATGGTGAGAAACTTGAAGCTTTTCTACCGATATTAGGAACAAGACAAGTGTGTCCTCACTCACTACTCCTTTGCAACATTGTACTGAGAGTCCTAGCTAATGCAATAAGAGAAGAAAAGAATGTAGATTAGGAAGGAAGAAATTAAACTGCCTTTGTTCACAGATGACACAGTCATCTGTGTAGAAAATCTAATAGGATCAACAACAATGAAAAAACCCTTCTGGAACTATTAAACAATTATAGGAAGGTGGTTAAATTCAAGGTTTACGTACAAAAGTCAATTGCTTTCCTATATGCCAGCAATGAACAAGTAGGATTTGAAATTAAAAATACAATATTATTTATATTAGCATCCCCAAAGATGACATATTTAATTGCACATCTGACAAAATATGTATAAGATCTTTAAGAAGAAAATTAGAAAACACTGATGAATGAAATCAAGGAAGTACTAAATGAACACTGCAGGTGCTCTACAGGCACCATGTTACCTCTCTCGCATCAGAAAAACACCTCAATTCCAAAACATAACTGACCCCAAGAGTTTCAAATAAGAAATTATGGAACTGAACCATTAAAAGCAAGTAATCAATGTATTACTGGCAAATAAACAATAAAATGTGGTGAGGTGGGAGGAGAATCAGAATAAATCATCTGAGAAAGCATTACTATGGAGGATGATATCTACTGCAGACTCAACCATCCTTCATGTTCCCCCAGGCAAGTTCCTTCACCTATATGATGCTCAACTTTCTCCAAAGTGAGAAAGTCAGGTTGATTATCTCTACAATCTGTTCACAATGACATAATTCTGAGCTCCCAGTTCCTTTCTTCAAAGCAGTTCTTCCCCACCCAGGAGCAACCAGGATGCGGCAATTCTTTGTCAAGGCATTTTCAGTTACATGCTACTATGTTTTTCCTTCATATTGCCCATTTTAAATGTAAACTCAAACATATTCCTTTGACTAACCATTTTTTTCCAGTTTTCTTTACAAATCACTAAGCAGTTTTTATTGGTTTTAAATGCGTTTTTACATTTCAACTCTCTTATAATTATTAAATAATCCATCTTACTTCCCTCTACATACATGATGATTTGTATTTATCTGGCAAAGACATAAAGAAAGAACATTAGGTCATTTGTACCAGAGAATTTGAGCCAGGACTCAGAACTGCTCGTTCTTGACGGCTGTGCTGAGATCACTTCCCTAGTTCTAGTTTGAAGATAAAGTTCTTTTGCTACCTTGGATTATGGTTTGAATTAGGTTAACATCCCTCCTTTTTCTGATTTATATGATGAAGTGATTGCTTAAAGATGGCAGGTCTGCTAGAGTCCTGATCTTGACAAATGGCACCACTCCATCATTTAAGGCAGAACCTTGGGAGTCACCCAAGACCATTTCCTCTCCCTTACCACCCACCTGTTCAATTAATCTCCAAGGCCTGCTGATTTTTTAAAAAATAAAATTATAATATGTTTCTACCCTATAGAAAATCAGAGCACATAATATAAACAACATCAATGAACCAACCTTCACATTTGTTAAATGGTCACTTTTTAATATATATATATGTTTAATATATATATACATAAACACACATTTAGTTGTTTTTTTAGGTAAATAGAACATTATAGAGAAAGTTGAAGCCCCCAATTGTAATTTTGGTATTTATAATTTTCATGTTTGTACAATTATTACAGAGAAGCTCCCAATTCTAATTTTGCTATTTATAATTTTCATGGTGTTTGTACTATTATTATAGAACACATTGGGCTGCATATTTACATGTTAACATTTTATAGTGCATGCATCCATCTGCAGCTTGTTTTTCATCTCACTTAACATTGGTCTTGAGATTATTCAAGAACTAGACACTTAAGTCTAGTTCATTCTCTTAAACAGATGTATAGTGTTCTATTATATAACTACTGATGCCATTTATTGATACCCTTGTTAATTGACATTTGGATTATTTCTAGTTTTTTGTTATTCAAATACTGCTGCAATAAATCTCCACGTGCCTGTCTCCTTGTGCAAGCGAATATATGAGCGCTTCTCTCGGGCACAGTGGACTGTGGTGTGCCAAGATGTTTATCTCCTCCACTGATGGGGACCGTGGGTGGGGCCAGAGATAGAGAGTGGAGTCTACCATTTTTATAGTGTCTACTATGGGGTCCGACACCATATGTAAAGGACCTTGCTTTACATAAATTAACTCATTCAATATCCATGATAACCCTATGGGAAAAACATGAATGTCATCTCCATTTTACAGACAAGGAAGCTGAAGCACAGGCAGCAATGAAATGACTTGACCAGAGTAAGCCATTTGTTAGTGTCAGAAGCAGTGATCGATTTCTCATTGAAGACTGCGGTGTTCTCTACGTAAGTACCCGGGAATGAAATTGCAAGGTGCAGGAGTAAGTGTGGCTTCAACTTTACTAGATAATGCCACATTGCTCTTCAAAACGGCGTTATTAATTTACAGTCCCAGCAGCACTGTGTGAGAGCTTCTTGTGCTAATCTGATGGAGGAGAAAATGGTGTCTTTGTTGTTTGCATTTGATTTTCCTTGATTTACTATGAGGCTGAACATCTTTTTGGAAGGTCTTTGGCTGCTCATATTTTCTGATTCTGTTGCTTGACTGTTCATATTTGTTGCCTTTTCTCTTACGTTTTTCCTGATTGATTTTGGTGAGTTTATTACATATTCTGGTTACTAAGCCTCTGTGTTCTATTTTTTTTTTTGCATATATCTCCTCTCAGGTGTCAAGAAAAACTGATGTACTGAGCTATAGTTCAAATAATATATGAGACAGTATTTTAATTTTAAATTTACTTTTTAAATAAGAAGAAATGCCTATAAGCTGTGTTCTATTTCTGAGAAAATTTTTACCGTCTTTTTATACTGTCTGAGCACATTAGACTGACATCAGTGCCAGACATCAGAAGAGGTTAATGACTCATCTTCCCAAGGAGGGTGAGTGTGACCAAACTTCTCTGAAAATTATAGCTTGTATCTTCAAGTGAACAGCTTTCTACAGCACTCATGGTTTCCATTAACAAGATTGTTTTGTTTTTGGTCACAAGACTATAAACTGTTTGTCATGGGAACAAATAGATTGATACTACGGAAAATCTTTTAACCTGTTTTAGTAAAGAGACGTAGAAACTTTCCTATGGCAAGATGTTGAGTGAGCGTAGATTTAATTCTTATGAGAAACAACCTTTTCTCCTAGCTTCTAAACAAAGGGCAATTGTTACTCAATTGTTTTGTATTCTCAAGGTTTCTGTTACTGATGACTAGGCTTCTGGTTTCAATTTAATTTTGTTTAGCTTTTAATTTTGAACATATTTTAGGTGTACTGAAAATTTGCAAAAGTAATGCAGAGTCTCCCATAAAACTTTTACCCACCTAACCCCAATGTTAACATTGTATATAACCATAGTACCAAAACTAAGAAATTAACATTGGTACAATACTATTAACTAAACCACAGACTTTATTTGAATTTGCTGATGTTTTCCTTACTGCCTCTTTCTGTTCTAGCACCCTCTCCAGGATCCCACATTACATTTAGTTGCCATTTCTCCCTAGTTGCCTCTGGCTTCTTGGTCTACCCTTGTTTTTTACGACCTTGACAATCTTAAGGAATACTTGCCAGCCTGGGGTTATCTGGCGTTTCCCCTTGATTACATGGGAGTTAGGAAGTTTTGGAAAGAACATCACAGAACAAAGTGCCCCCCCACCTCACTATATGTGACATCTACATGACACCACAGGTGATAGTAACCTTCGTCACCTGGTTAATGTCGTGTTTGCCAGGTTTTTCCACTGCACAGTTGCTATTTTTCCCTTTCCCCACTCTATTCTTTGGAAATGAGTCTGTAGCTCTGTCCCACCCTCAGTGGAGAGGAGTGGGGACTGAGCTCCTTCTCCTGGCTGGGTAGCATCCACATATATTGTCTGAAGTTCTTTTTTAAGGAAGATCTATCACTTCTCATCTGTGTGCATATTTATTTATTTATTCCCTGGTTTATTGTGCCAGTGTAGACTTGTATATTTATTTCATACTTCGGGTCATGGTCCAATGTTCCATTGTCTACGTGGTGGTTCCAGTGATTTCAGCTTTGGTTAGTGAGTGCTCTCCTAGCTTGGCTCCTGGGTCCCTTTGACACACCCCATCCTTTGGAGTTTCAAATACTTCCTGGCTTTCTGGTTCTCCCAATAATTTTAGCATCCACCCGTAGGTGCTGTCTGCACAGTTATTTCTGTAGCGTTCTAGTGGCGATTTTTCTATTTCTCCCTCTCAATTTAATCAAGATAACTAAGATATTTAGCATATAGGCTATCTGAGGGATTTGGGTTTGGATTTCAGTTCCAGCACTTCAAGCTATCTGCTGTTAGGGTTCTCTGAACCCTGATTTCATTTGTATCAGAAGGCAAAGTGTGAAACTGCTTCTATACTCACAATATTTCTGATACTAAGTGTGTGGGGCTTTTATACATTCCCCACCACCAAGCAAATTTCCAGTTCTCTGTGGACACCAAAATTAGGTGTCCTATAATTTAATGAGTTTGATACTTGCTCCCAGGAGTTAGTGGAGACCCCACAGGTTCAGTCCCAGAAGACTTCACTGTACTTCAGACACCAACCAAAAGTCTCAGGTTACTTCTTGCACTTATGGCTGACTGGCTGGAAATTGAGGATTCCCATGACCCCTCCTCACATTTAATAATTTACTATAGCAGCTCACAGAACTCAGGGAAACACTCCACTGACTATTACTGATTTATTATAATGGATGCAGTTCAGAAACAGCCAAATGTAAGAGATGCACAGGGCAAGGAGAGGGGTGCAGAGCTTCATGCCCCCTTTGTGGGCACCGTTCTCCCAGCAGCTCCAGGTGTTTACCCACCCAGAAGCTCTCTGAACTCCATTGTTAAGAGGTTTTATGGGAGTTCCATTACATAGGCACGGTTGATGAAGTCATTGGCCACTGGTGATTAACTCAGTCTCCAGGACCTCTCCCCACCTGGCAGTCCAGAAGGTGAGGCTGAAAGTTCCAACCTTCCAATCACAGGGTTGGCTCCCCTGGTAAACAGCCCCACCCTCAAAGAGTCACCTCATTAGCATAAACTCAGGTATGATTGAAAAGAGCTTATTACGGGTAACAAAGGTAGCTCCTCTCACCCAGGAAATTCCAAGAGTTTTTAGGAGCTCTGTGCCAGGAACTGGGGACAAAAATCTTGCACTGTCCCACTCCACCAGCCTGGGAAGGGAATTATCCCTTTGGCGCTGATACACTCTCTGTCCTCTAGTCACTTAGCAGGTATCTGAGTTATCAGATCAAAAAACATGGCATATATAGGGCTCCATACTATCTGTGGTTTTAGGCACCCACTGGGGGTCTTGGAACGTATCCCCTGAGGATGAGGGGGAGAGCTGTATTATTATTATCATTGCTTCCACCAGCACTGTTGTCACCTCCATACTTCTTCCAGAGCCTGCTTTGTAAAATGCAAATCTGATGATGTCACGGCATTGTTCAGGGTAACTCATTGCTGTCTTTGTCAGCAATGGTTCCTAAGCCTGACTTTTGATCAAAATCATATGAGGAGCTTAGATAGAAAGATAGATAGATAGATAGATAGATAGATAATAGATAGATGATAGATAGATAGATGATAGATAGATAGATAATAGATAGATGATAGATAGAAAGATGATAGGTAGATAGATAGATAATAGATAGATGATAGACAGATAGATAGATGATAGCTAGATAGACAGATAGAGAGATAGATAGATAGATAGATAGATAGATAGATAGATAGATAGATGCCCAGTCTTAGCCCAGACCTTATTGACTTGAATTTTGGTGGGGTGGGTCTCAGCCTTTATCTGTCCTGGAGAGAGGTGAGAGCAGGGGTCTGCGCAGCAGGAATGAGCCTGGGATCCCTGTAAAGGCTGATAGCTGGTCCCACCCAGTGATGACTCACAGCAATAAAGAGAAGACCTTGGTTCCCACCATGAAGTAGCCAATATGATGCCCAGATGTGAGAAGAGGAGTCTGATGAACTGTTTCTAGCTATTCCACTTAGTTCCCATGTGTTCCTATCTAGTCAGTTGGAAGGTAGCTGTCCTTTATTTAAGGACTGTGTTCTTAGAGGACTTGTTCAATTTAAAACATGCACAAATAAAGACCATTATCCTAATAAGAATAAATATAAACTGTGTATTCATAAACCTAGTGTTAAATCAAGTGAAGCCTAGAGTGGCCTCCTTACATATCTTAAATTCTGCCTAAAGGTTTCTCTGTATACAGTGAGCCATAACCTAAATAGAGGTGTAAACAGATTGTAACCTACAGTTAAAAGAAAAACCTTAGCCAAATTAAACTTAAAAACGTTTAATTGAGCAAAGAACAATTCATGAATCTGGCAGCCTCCTGAGCCACAGTAGGTTCAGAGAGAATCCAACACAACCACATGGCAGAAGAAGATTTGTGGACAGAAAAAGGAAAGTGACTCACAGAAAACAGAAGTGAGGTGCAGAAACTGCTGATTGATTACAGATCGATGTTTGCCTTATTTGAATATGTCATATTTGATTGGCCATATTTGTTGGTCATATTTGATTGGCCAAAACTGGGTGATTGGCAAAGAGTAGGTTACAGGCTGTTTACAATTCTATTTAGGTTATAATTCATGATGTACAGAGAAACCTTTAGGCCAAATTTAAAGCAGGTGAGGAGGCAGCTTTAGGCTAAACCTGATTTAACACTTCTCTTGTGCCAATCACTGAATTTTAGCCAAAAGGGATCAACTGTTCGAAATGTGTTCAAGTAAATCGAATGCTGACCTGTAACCAGTTTGGCTGTTTGTGTGCCTCACGTCTGTTTTCTGTACATCACTCTCCTTTTTCTGCCCATAAGTCTTCTCCCACCATCTAACTGCCCTGGAGTCCCTCTGAGCCTACTGTGGTGCAGGAGGCTGCCCGACTGGCAAGTAATTCTTTGTTCAGCTAAACTCTGTTAAACTTAAATTGGCTAAGGTTTTTCTTTTGACACTAGAATGATTGTTGTGAACACTTTCTTTACTACTTCTTTTCACCTTGAGCTCTGATACCTTGCAGGGTGCTCTCGTCTTAATTAACAGTCTGGGACAACATGGTATTTATGTGTGCCCAGCTTCTTAGCACTTTAACACACAGAATTTCTATTTCAAAGTTGACTTTCCGAGTACATTTTCTTTTCAGCTAGCATGAGCCCCACTAATAAACACATAGATGGCATTATTAATAAAAATTATAATGTCACTGTGTATTAAAATATTAGTACAAGAGTGTTCCATTGTCTATGACATAAACTACTTAACCTACTTCAGAATAGGAAGTGTAACTTATATGTTGTATTAGTCAGGGTTCTCTTGAGTGACAGAACTAATAGGATAAATGTATATATAAGGGGGAGTTTATTAAGGAGTACTGACTCACACAATCACAAGGTGAAGGCCCACAATCGTCCGTCTGCAACCTGAGGAACAAGGAAGCCAGTCTGAGTCCCAAAACCTCAAAAGTAGGAAAGCTGATGGTTCTGTCTTCAATCTGTGGCCGAAGGCCCAAGAGCCCCTGGCAAACCACTGGTGTAAGTCCAAGAATCCAAAAGCTGAAGAACTTGGACTCTGATGTTCTAGGGCAGGAAGCATAAAGCACAGGAGAACGATGAAGGCTGGAAGACTCAGCAAGTCAAGTCCTTCCATGTTCTTCTGCCTGCTTTATTCTAGCCATGCTGGCAGCTGATTGGATGGTGCCTACCCAGATTGAGGGTGGGTCTGCCTCTCCCAGTCCACTGACTCAAGTGTTAATCTCCTTTGGCAACACCCTCACCAACACACCAGGATCAATACTTTGCATCCTTCAGTGCAGTCAAGCCAACACTCAATATTAACCGTCACATATGGGTACATGAATTACCTTTCATCTATACTCCAGGGGTAATCACTCAGCATTTGAACAGAAATTTGTAATCAGAGGTGGTTAAAGAAAATGTTTTCTATTTTATTATAATAGATACGAAGTCTTCATTAGCTAGCATAAGGCATTTTAGAAATAATTTTCCATAGATAAAATAAGTGGTGTTCAAAAAATACAGTCACCTAAAAAGACTGAATGGATCCCAGCACATTGCTTGGTTGAAGGATCAGAATCAGGCCAGATTCTATGGGGGTGGGGCCCACATCCAAAACTCATGCCCTCTGGGCACTGCATGTAGCAGAGGACTCTGTCATGAGTTCTATCCCAAGGTTGGCTGATCTCAGAGTTCATGCAGGGAACTTGATTGTTGCCTGAGGACAGAAAGAGATCTCACCAAGCTAAGGAGAACAGATATACAACTGCTTGTGTAATAAAGCACTGGACTGGCCTTTGTCCCTAGTTCCTGGGAGAGAGACTCTGAGCCCTTGGAATTTCCTGAATAATAGGGGCATCTTTATTATTCATGAGGTTTTTTGGATTGCATCTGATTTACGCTAATGAAACCACTCAGAATGGGAACTGGTCACCAGAAACACCAACCATGTGATCTCAGGAGGTTAGAACTTTGAGTCAGTCTGATCCCCAGGGAGGGGAGAGCAGCTGGTGACTGAGTTTAATCCTTTGTCAATGGTCTGGCTAATCATGCCTATGTCAGGAAACCATAATACAACTCTGGACACTGAAGCTCAGAGGAACTTTCTGTTTGACAAACACATTGATGTGTCAGGAGGGTGACGCGCTGTGATTTCATGGGAAGAGGGTATGGAATCTCTGCGTTTGGGACCCTCTCAGATCTTGTCCTATGTGTCTCTTCATTATGCTGGTCCTGATTTGCAGCTTTTATAATAAAACTGTAATTATAAATCTAGCACCTTCCTGAATTCCAGGAATTGTTCTGGAGAATTGTGAAGCCTGAGAGGGGTTGTGGGATTTATAGCTAGTTAGTTGGTCAGGGCACAGGTGGTCTGGAGACCTGAAATTACAGCTGGCATCTGAAATGGGGACAGTCGTCCTGGGGGCAGTGCTCCTAACATAAGGAATCTGATATTAACTCCAGATGGTTAGTGTCAGAATTGTACTGCAGGGCACCCAAACTATTTTTAGCCTGCTTACTAATAAATAGTTGTCCACTTGGAAGAATATAGCCTTGCCTTCATTTTGACAGACCAACTAGTAGTCTGAGGCTGGGCTTGTATAGCCCATACCTAGCTCTAACCTGGGAGGCTGCTGGTGTCCACCGTAACAACCTGACCGTTGCCAAAGGGACAAATTGGCTTAGACCGGCCTGACAACCACACACAGAAATCCCTCCTGGAAGTTCCAACACCTGTAAATAGCAGCATGATTTCTAGGACACTGAAAGCAGGGGCTGGTATTTCTGTTTTCCTGTTCATATGGTGGTAGCTTGTGGGAATAGTATAAAAACATTTTACAATTCACTGGCTTTCAGCTTTGTAATTATGTAGTGTTTTATTTTTTCTGGGGTATTTGAATTCAAAATTTGCTTATACTGTGATTTTATTGAAGTTTTTGTGACACTATTTTAAGGAAATAACAGTGCATAAATGCAACCACATTTAATTCTGGATATCAATGTTTTCATCTATAAACAGAGAGAAAAGTGAGAATGGCCCTACCTATTTGTACTGAGATTCAAAAAAAATGAAAAAGCTTTGAAAACTATATACATGATTTCTCTAATGGAAAGATTTCTCTAATGGAAAGATTTCCTTATTTTTGCATATTGGAAACAATGCTTAGAATACAAAAGACCGACCATAAGCAATAACCACAATAAAGAAGTAATCTATATAGTATATTAAAAGGTGATAAACCTATTAAATATTACAAACCACAAAAAAAGCATTATAAAGCTTTTCAGGATGCATGGTTGCAATTTTAGATGGGATTAGACCTCATCAAGAAGATGTGATGTAAACAGGGACTTGAAGAAAATGAGGGAGCGATGTGGATACAGGGGGAAGAGCATTCCCAGGTAGAGGAAATAGCCAGTGCAAAGGCCCAGAATGTCTGCCATGAGCTACTCTCAACAAGGAGGTTACTACAAGTGGGACACATGCATAATTGAGACTAGTAGGAAAGGAGGTCAGCATAATGGAAGGCAAGGTAGTATAGGGCTGGTTGACCAAAATGAACACCCTGGTTTCTTTTTAATATTATTATTATTATTATTACTAGACAGAGGCTCGCTCTGTCACCAGGCTGGAGTGCAGTGGTGCAATCTCGGCTCACTGCAACCTCTGCCTCCCAGGTTCAAGCGATTCTCCTGCCTCAGCCTCCCGAGTAGCTGGGATTACAGGCACACACCACCAAGCCCAGCTGAAACACCCTGATTTCTACTCTGAGTGGAATGTGAAGTTACTGGAAGGCTTTGAGCAGGGGAGTGACATGCAGTAAGCTGAATGGTGTTTCCTGCCCCCACCTCCAAAAAGATATATACACACCCTAATTCCTGGAACCTGTAAATGTTACCTTCTTTGAGAAAAGGGTCTTTGCAGATAGAATGAACTTAAAGATCTTGAGATGAAGACATCATCTTAGATCATCTGGCAGGCAAAGTCCAGTGACAAGTATACTTATAAGAAGAGAAGGGCAGAGGGAGATTTGAGACAGACAGAGAGGAGACACGACACACAGAGGAGAAGGCAGGGTAAAGATGGAGGCAGAGATTGGAGCAATGGGGCCATGAGACAAGGTGTGCCAAGGATTGCCGGACGTCCCCATGAGGCAGAAGGGAGGCGTGGAAGCGGTTCGCCCTTAGAGCCTCCAGAAGTAATCAACCCTGCCAGCACTTTGATTTTGGACTTCTAGCCTCCAGAACTCTGAGAGAATAACTTCTGTTGTTTTAAGACACTCCATTTGTGGCAATTTGTTAAGGAAACAACGGGAAACAAATATAGGAAGCCAGAAAGTAAGGGACCCGATTAGCCAAACTGAGAAGACTCAGGGTTCTACTCTGAGGGGAACTGGGAGCTACTGGAAGGTTTTGAGCAGAGTAGTGACACGAACTTGATTCTTGTTTTAAATAGAGTCAGTTAACTTAGCCAGCATATATCCCTCCTCCCTCACACATTTTTCTGCCTGGTGATTGGATCAATAATTGGCTAGACATGGCCAGAGGCCATCTCAACTTTCAGTTCAATTTCACTCCTTTATGGATGCAATCCTTTGGATATTGAGCCTCTAAACTGGCTGCGTCCATTAGAACTGGATTTGGCTGCATTTAAGAGAAAACCTGGCCAGGCACCGTGGCTCCCACCTGTAATCCAAGCACTGTGGGAGGCCGAGGAGGGCGGATGATCTGAGGTCAGGATTCAAGATCAGCCCGGCCAACATGGTGAAGTCACGTCTCTACTAAAACTACAAAAAATTAGCCGGGCATGGTGGCGGGCACCTGTAGTTCCAGCTACTCAGGAGGCTGATGCAAGAGAATTGCTTGAACCTGGGAGGTGGAGGTTGCAATGAGCCGAGGTTGTGCCACTGCACTCCAGCCTGGGCAACAGAGCGAGACTGTCTCAAGAAGGAAAAAAAAAAAAAAAGAGAAAACCTAACAGTAGTTTAACTAAGAGAGAAGTTTATGTCTCTCTCAAGCAATAGAAACCCTGAGCTGGGCAGTCCAGGACTAGAAATGTGGCTCCATAGGCATCATGGAATTAGGGTTCTTCTGGTTTTTCATCCTATTGTCTTTAGCATATAGTTTTTAGCTTCAAGGTTGCCTTATGGTCCAAGAAGACAGCTGGAGTTCCAGCCATTGTTTGAAAATTGCACAGTCAAGGAGAACAGAGGAGCAGAGCATACTGGTTACACCTCCAGGAAGAATAAAACCTTTCGAAACAGATTTCCTGGAAGCCACAGTCAGTTACTTCTGCTCACATCTTATTGGCCCCCCTGTTTCAAAGGAAGAAGGGATATCACACGCCATCAAGAAAAAGTCATGGGAACCACCACTCAAGTCAACAGATAGAAACAACATTTCCAGCATTCCAGAGGCCGCTTCCTTCCCTTTCCTGGTCACCACCTATCCCCACCTCCACCAAGGTAACTATCTACTTAATTCTTACTGGAATTACACCTTTACTTTTCTTTAGAGTTTTATTACCTGAATATGTATATATTTTTCAATATTAAGATTTAGGTTTTTTAGGTTTGCTTATTTGTTTGGGCTTTATATAAATGGAATTATTTAATAATAATTTTTAAAGATTGTGTTGTGCAGAAAGGGGAGAGAAAGGATATTAAGTGGGCAACTAGTAATCTCCGCTACATCAGCAGAACACAGAGTTAAGGTTCTTTCAACCATTGATTTCATTAATGTATCTTCACAATTTACCTGGATTCTGAGCAAAGCCAGTCTATTCTATGACATAAGCCTTTCTTAGTATTCTAGGACAAAGTATTACAATTGCTTATCACCATCTTCCTGTCAATCTAGGAAGACCAAGTGTTTTTGGCAGTACTTCCTTGCTCATTGAAATTTTTAGTACGCTACATCTAATAATTGTTAATGTGTTTTGGTTGAAGTCCACCATCTTGTTTTTTGTTTCCTATCAGTCCTATCTGTTTTTATTCTTTTGTTTAATCTTTTCCTACCTTCTCTGAGGTTAACTGAGTATTTTTAGTATTTTTTTCTATTAGCTTTTTTTGCTTTTTATTATAATAACATGTAACATGAAATTTACTATCATAACCATGTTTAAATGTATAGTTCAATAATGTTAGGTATATTCACATTGTTGTAAAACAGAAGATCTCCAGAAATTTTTCATCTTGAAAATCTGAAACTCTATACCCATTAAGCAAATCTCTTCTGCTCCCTCCTCCAACCCCTGGTGAGTACCATTCTACTTTGTGTTTATATACATTTGGCTACTTTAGATAATGAATGTATGTGTAATTATACATTATTTGGCTTTTTGTGACTAGAGTATTTCACTCAACATAATGTCTTCAAGGTTCGTCCATGTTGAAATCTTATGATTTATTTCTTTTTAAGGATAAATAATATTTCATGTATGTATATATCACATTTTCTTTATCCATTTGTCAACGGAAATTTTAGTTGTTTCTGTAGTTTGGCATTGCAATAATCTGCAATACTGCAATGCTCCCAAAATACCTGGGGGTGCAGATACCTCTTTGAGATTCTAATTTAAATTCTTCTGGATATATACGCAGGAGTAGGATCATTGTATCACATGGCAGTTCTATTCTCAATTTCTGAGGAACCTCTATACTCTTTCCCATAGTGGTTGTATCATTCTATATTTACACCAACAATAAATAAGAGATATAATTTCTCCACATACTCATCAACATTTTTACTTTTTTGGGTTTTTTAAAATAATAATCATCCTAATAAATACAAGGTGTTACCTCATTGTGCTTTTATTTGCATCCCTGATAATCTGTAATGTTGAGCACCTTATAACATACCTGTTGACCATTTGTGTGTCTTTGGAGAAATATCCATTCAAGATCTTTGCCCATTTTCTAATTATTTGTTTATTTGCTGTCAGATTGTAGGAGTTCCATATATATTTTGGAAATTAACCCATTATCAGACATATAATTGGTAAATATTTTATTTATGTCACAAATTATCTCTTCATTCTGTTGATTGCTTGCTTTACTGTGCAGATTTTCACTTCAATATCCCATTTAGCTATTTTTGCTTTTGCTACTGGCACTTTTGATATTATATCCATAAAATCATTGTTGGGAGCAATGTCATGAAGCTTTTCCTTCATGTTTACTTCTAAGCATTTTAAAGTTTCGGATCTTACATTTAAATCTTTGCTCCATGTTCATGTGATCTTAGTATTATGGTATAAGATAGGGGTCCAGTTTATTCCTTTTGAATGTGAATTTCCAGTTTTCCCAGCATCACTTGTATAAGAGACTATCCTTTCCCCCATTGTGTATTCTTTTTTGTTTGTTTGAGATGGAATTTCACTCTTGTTGCCCAGGCTGGAGTGCAATGGTGTGATCTCGGCTCACCGCAAACTCCGCTTCCTGGGTTCAAGTGATTCTCCTGCCTCAGCCTCCCAAGTAGCTGGGATTACAGGCATGAACTACCATGCCCCACTCATTTTGTATTTTTAGTAGAGACAGGGTTTCTCCATGTTGGTCAGATTGGTTTTGAACTCCTGACCTCAGGTGATCTGCCCACTTCAGCCTCCCAAAGTGCTGGGATTATAAGTGTGAGCCACCATGCCCAGCTGCCCATTGTGTATTCTTGATGCCTTTGTTGAAGATCAATTGACTGTGCGTGTGTGGGTTTATTTCTGGGCTCTCTATTCTGTTCTGTTGTTCTTTATGTCTGTCTTTATGCCAGTACCAAACTGTGCTGATTATTGTAGCTTGCTAATGTATTTTGAAATCAGAAAGTATGATGTCTCCAGCTCTGTTCTTCTTTCTCAGGATTGCTTTGACTATTTTGGGTCTTTTGTTGTTCCATATGAATTCTAGAATTTTTTCTCTTTCTTTAAGAAATGCCACTGGGATTTTAATGGGAATAATGTTGAATCTACAGATCGCTTTGTTTAGTATGGACATCTTAATAATATTAATTCTTTCAATCCATGAACACAGAATATTTTTCCATTTATTTGTCTCTTCTTTAATTTCTTTCATCAGTGTATTGTAGTTTTTAGTGTACGAGTTTTTCACTGCCTTGGTTAAGCTTATTCCTAAGTAATTTATTTTTTTGATGCTATTGTAAATAGGATTTTTCTTCTTAATTTTCTTTACAGATAGTTCATTGTTACTGTATAGAAAAACAATTGTTTCTTTGTATATTGATTTTGTATTCTATAACTTTACTGAATTTGTTTATTAGTTGCAACAGTTTTTTGGCAGAGTCTTAAGGGACATATATAATTATGTTACTAGCAAACAGAGATGATTTAACTTCTTCCTTTACCATTTAGATGCCTTCTGTTTCTTTTTTTGGCTTTATCTGACTAGAAGTTCTAATACTATTTTGAATAGAAATGGTGAGAGTGGGTGTCTTTTTCTTGTTCCTGATCTGCCCGCTTCAGCCTCCCAAAGTGCTGGGATTACAAGTGTGAGCTAGTAATCTAGCTAGAAGGAAAAACTTTCAGTTTTTCACTGTTGAATATTGTATCAGTTTTGGCTTGCCACATATGGCCTTCATGTGTTGAGGTAGATTCTTTCTATACCTAACTTGCTTAGATTTTTTTTTTTAAATCATGAAAAGAAGGATGAATTTTGTCAAATGCTTTTTCTGCATCACTTGGGGTGATCATGTGATTTTTATCCTTCTTTTTGTTAATGTGGTGTATTGCATTTATAGATTAGTGCACGTTGAACCATCCTTGCATTTCTGGAATAAATCCCACTTGATTATGATGTCTAATCCTTTTAATGTGTTGAATACAGTTTGCTAGTATTTTGTTGAGGATTTTTGCATCTATAGTCATCAGGGATATTGGCCTGTAGTTTTCTTTTTTTGTAGTGTTTTTGTCGGACATTGGTATCAGGGTAATATTGGCTTCATGAAATGAGTCTGGAAGTGTTCCTTCCTCTTCAACTTTTTGGAAGAATTTGAAAAAAGATGGCATTCATTCCTTAAATATTTGGTAGAATTCACTAGTGAAGCTATCTGTTCTTTGTTTTTCTTTGTTGGGAGATTTTTGATTACCAATTCAATGTCCTTACTTGTTATTGGTGCCTTCAGATTTTCTGTTTCTTCATGATTTAGTTTTAGTAGCTTGTATGTTTCTAAGAATTTCTCCATTTATTCTAGGTTGTCCAGCTTATTGGCATATAATTATTTGTAGTAGTCTCTTATGCTTCTTTTTATTTGTACAGTATCAGTTGTAATGTTTCCTCTTTCATTTCTGATTTTATTTAATTGAGTCTTCTCTTTTTCTTAGTTTAGCTGAGGGTTAGTCAATTTGGTTTTTCTTTTCAAAATAACTAGCTCTTAGTTTTGTTGATTTTTTTCTTTTTTAGTCTTTATTTTGTTTTTTCTATTCTAATCTTCATTATTTCTACTACTACTTTCTTGTACTAACTTTGGACTTATTTTGTTCTTGCTTTTCTTTTTTTTTTTCTCTTCCTTTTTTTAGCATAGCTATTTATCACTTAAACTTCCCTCTTCATACTTTACTGCCATAAGTTTTGATGTATTGTGTTTTCCTTTTGTCTTAAGACATATCTTATATTTTGATTTCTTTTGTTTTTTAGCCCATGAATTGTTCAGGAGAAGGTTAATTTCCACATATTTGTAAATTTTCCAATTCTCCCTCTGTTAGTGATTTCGTTTCATAACATGTGGTCAGAAATGATACTTGATATAATTTTAATCTTCTTAAAATTGTTAAGACTTGCTTTGTGGCCTAATATGTGATATATCCTGGGGAATATTCCGTGTGCACTTGAGAAGAATGCATATTCTGTTGCTGTTGGGTGGTATGTTTTGTATATGTCTTTTAGGTGCATTTGGTCTACAGTGTTGTTCAAGTCTGCTGTTCCCTTATAGATTTCCTGTCTGGATATTCTATCCATTGTTGAAAGGCAGGTGCAAAGTCTCCTACCATTATTGTACTGCTATCAATTTCTCCCTTCAGTTCTGTTATATTTGCTTTGTATCTTTAGGTGTTGTGATGTTGAGTGCATATATAATTGTAATATTTTCCTGAATTAGCCCTTGCATCATTTTATAATGTTCTTGTCTCTTGCAAATATTTTTAAAGTCTATTTTCCTAATATAAGTATGGCCACCTCTGCTCTTTTTTTGTTGACCATTTTCATAAAAATATTTTTTCATTCTCTCACTTTCAACTTCAATGTCTCCTTAAATATAAGTCTCCTGTAAACAGCATATAGTTAGGTCTTTTCAAAAAAATCCATTTATCTACTTTACATCTTTTGAATGGGGAATTTAATCTCTTTGTGTTTAATTATTATTGATTAATTTACATTAATTTCATTAACTTAATTAATTTATTGAATTTAATTGTTATTAATATAATTAAACACAAAGAGATTAAACTCCCCAATAAAAA